TATATATATATATATATATATAAGCTATATTCGTAATTAAATATTGAATATTAAAATTTAGGATGTTCAATAAAATTTATGTCACAATTCTATAATAAAATTTACAAAGCATTGCCTTAGATATTTTTTTTAACATCCTTTTGTCTCTAATATCTATTTAATTTTTNTAATAAAATTTACAAAGCATTGCCTTAGATATTTTTTTTAACATCCTTTTGTCTCTAATTTAATTTTTTTTTTTTAAATCCGTTTGGCCCACTTAGCCCGCGGGCCGGGACCAAACGGTCCCGGTCCCGGACCGGTTCCTACAAAAAGACCACTTAGCCCGGGATCGTTTGGACCGGCCCACTTGGCCCGGGGCCGGCCCACTTGCCACCTTTACTCTCACAACACACTTCAAACCTTCTTCACCCAAAACACTAAGACACACCATACATATTGTCACGATCCAAAATCTCACATGTCGTGATGGTGCTTATCGCAATACTAGGCAAGTCTACAATCACAAATAACCACGCATCTTTAAATTTAAAACATAGCGAACGACTTTGCTTTATCCCATAAATATCCTCAAAACTCATTTCTGACGGGGTTTGGACATATTTTGGAGGCAACAAAGGCTACGAAACACGTTTTGGAGCACGAAATTATCGCATCCTTCACCCTTTCTCTAGTGTGATTATTCATATGACTATGAATGGCTAAACCCCTCCTTGTTCTGGAGTTATAGGTAGTTATTGATTGTTGATGTTATACGATTATTTTGATCACTTGATTATATCATATATTGATTTGTTTATTTAATACAAATCTTAATTAATTTATTATGTAGCAAACAATAGATAGCTATTTACAAATCTACAGTTGAACTCGAAAGTGGGGACAATAGATTGCATATAGGATTGAATAGAGTAAGTTCTTTAATTCGGGGATCGGAAAATAGATTCGCGATTGATAGACATATGTTAATTGCCTTACTTGAGTATTATTGCAGGAATTACACATGCATGTTAGTTGATTTTGATTCTATAAACGTATAATATTAGGTTGGCTTGAATAGGCGAGCAAGGCGTTAAAGAACCTCGTGAGCAATATAAACTTTGTTAATCAACAAATCAGATAGATCTAGTAGTTGAATCAACTGGAAAAACTCAACATGAATGACATTAATTCCAGAATCCTAGAATATTTCCATCTCATTGATCTTCGTCCTAAGTTGTTTGTGTGCTCTGTTTGTATTCTTGTCTCCTTGCTTGCTTGTCAATTCTCGTAGTAGTTTTAGTTAATTAAGATCACAATCATCTCTCGAAAAATCACTTGAATGAATAATTTGTACCTAGATTAATTTAATTGATAGTTGATTATAAGTCCTCGTGGGAAAAATATTTTATTCATCACTTTATTACTTGTCGACCTCGTATATTTGCACGTGCATTTGCCCCAATAATTTTACATAATAATAATTGATGATATATATTTCAAGGTAGATCTACATAAAATTACCATTATAAAAGAAATGATGAGAACTCTATACGCTTTAGAATCATTAAAAAAGAAAAGGACATTGTCTAAGAAAAAGCAAAGAATAGTGGGTACGTACTGAGTAGTCATGGCTAGCTCATCGTGACAGATATATATATGATCTTTGCCGTTTCAATTTTCTTACATTATTCAAAAGTAAATCAACTTGAAGAAATATTCTTTCTCCAATTCACAGGAAATATTCTTTCATTAATTGTATATATAGGCCTTCCATCAAAGCCCTATATCCACCATTTATTTCTGTCTTTCACTTTCTCTACAATTCACACGAAAGGAAAGAAAAAAGTTCCCATTCTGAAATAGATGGCAAGGTTAATAAAATTGTTCGCCACTGTGTTCCTTATGCTGATGCTTGTCTTTGCCACTGGCAAGTCTTCTTTCTCGTCACAGTTCTTGCATATTGCTAGAAAAGCATCTCGTTTTCTTGTATTACAGCTTACTATAGTTTAACTTTAACACATAACACTCGGATAGACGGTAATATTAGTAGTATTACTTTATTTAACAGATCTTTATACGGTAATATTTTTCACATTCAATGCATATAAGTTTTCCTGTAGCGCTGCAAAATTTATCTCTAATTTTAAATTAATATACATGTCTATTTATGCGTGCATGCATATATTTGGAGACCAGAAGCTGTTTGACTTCATCCTTTGAGTTGGTCACTATAATCAGCTTTATGAAAATAATACACATCACCGTCATCACTTTATTTACGTGCAAAATTTTGGGTGTGTGAGTCATAATCATACAAATCCAATAGTTTCTTGATTTCATGGTTTTACGACTTGCAGAGATGGGACCAAAGATGGTAGAGGGAAGGACATGCGAGTCACCGAGCCAACGCTTCAAAGGGCTATGCTTTAGGAAGGGAAACTGTGCCACTATTTGCAAGTCAGAGGGCTTCCGCAGCGGCCACTGCCGGGGTTTCCGCCGCCGATGTTTCTGCACCAGACACTGTTAAAAAGCTGCCCATTATTAATGCTGCTTGTTTCAGGAACTTTGTTTCTATTCTTGATATTTGATGTTTTTCCTTGTTTTTGGTTGTTGGATGTAATCTGTGGGGCTTTGGCAGTGGAAATATTGATTTATCCTTTGTCTATCTCTCTTCTTTCTTCAGAACTTTCGATCGAATAAAGACATGTCATGTTAAAGAAATTTTAATATGTACCGACCAATTCTCTTCCCTTGCCAGTTTACATAACCGCCAGGCTCTCTTGAATCCTAAACCCCAAATATGTTATTAATTAAATTAAAATGTAATTTCTATAATAATTTTATTTACCCGAAAAACGGATAGAGTTGAATTTATACGTAGTTCCAAGAATATGTTGCGTAACTTAATACAAATTGTAAAGATAAATGAAAGTATAAATATGAATTACAAGGAATGTGAAATAGATAAAGTTGTAGGGAAGAATGAATCTTGGGACTACTCAGCAAATAGGACCAAGTTAAGAAATCTCAAAGAATGGTGCTTTACTGTGTAATATAGCGTTTTCTTACAATGTAAGCCTCTCCTCAAACATGTCCTACAGAAATGGTCACCAAGCCCTTTTATAGTGGAGGGATTTGACTCTAAGCATAATAAAATAAACATTCAGTGGGAGACCCATGATAAATCAGTTTTTCCACAATTTCTGCCAAGATTCTCTCTAGTGGGGTTGCAACGGTTTTTGTCTACAAGCTCGATATTGCTTAGAGCCCTCGATTTTGGTTTGAGCCTGATTTCGACTCGAGCCCTTGATCTTGGTTCGAGCACGATCCTGGCTCGAGCCCTCGAAATGATTCGAAGTCAATGTTGGTTGGTCTCTGGATTATAAGCATGATGGATATACTCTGCATCACGGTTCGATTTCGATTCGAGCTTGATAATGATATCGAACTCGGTACGGATCGGCCCCCTGGGTTCGAGTTAGTTTGTTCCATCTTAGGGATCTTACTTCGATAGATCATCGTTCGAACTTGGTACGGACGTTCGAAGGCCGAAATCTATTTCGACCATATACAGATAGTCCCCTCGTTTCTCAGAAAGAATATGGTGAGAAACGATATGATCGGATTATAATCTGACATTTTCATCGGGTTCGACCATGACGCATTTGGTAGTTGTCCCGTCGGTTTAGTCTTTCAAGGCATTTAATGCATGTCAGGCGATGGTCGGCCACCGTTGATATTGAACCGCCATCGCTTGAACCTATAAATAACCCTTTCTTTTATCTTTTACTACTTTTACATCTTCTATCTTCCAAATTTTCCAAATCCTTTTTCGTACTCTCCAACTTACCAGTAAATCTGTGATTTTTTTCTGTAGAAGCCCCTCTTTAATTCTACCAAATCTTTGTCACTTTTCTCTATTCCTTACTTTTGAACTCGAAAATGGCGAAAACGTCACAAACCATCCCTCAGAAAGAGAAAGCTTCATCTTCACAGTATGCCGCCGATGATACACCGGTAGAACCACGGCCTGAGGAGTGCGTTCCCGGAGGGTGCATCCTTACTTCTGATTTCTAGGTCGATAAAGGCTCATCGGTCCTAGGTCGATGTGAAACGGTATCGAGGTATATATGTTTGATAACCGAGAAGCACCTCCAATAGCTAAAGAAGGTTTGCAATTGGGATAAAAAAGAAATAATGATTCCTTCTTCTGACGAAGATATCACTTCGCACGTGAGATGGTTTTTGAATGTGTATTCTTATCCTTTCACGTTGGGTCCCCTCGATTTCGTTATCATTGATTTATGTCGTTAATACCAAATAACCCTAGGCCAGGTTCACCCTTCTTTTTGGCGAATCGTTATCCTGATCCGATATTTCGTGAGCGAAATCGAGGGGATGTTGTTCACCCTAGACCATCTTATCCGATTATACCGTCCTCTACTTTTTTGAGGAGGGTTAATAAAACTTCAGCGTCGAACTGCCAAGGCTCTATTCTCGAGTATTGACAAGGACAGGGACCAGGGTCGGATGCCATGGCCCAACATCGATCGCATGGACCGCCTATGGGCTTTTGAAACTGGAACGATGGATAACTTTTCGGTCTCACAGCTGCAGCAAAAAATCGAGATGATCGAAAAGCTTCGTGAGGAGGTTGACGTAATAAAAACAGAGTGTTTGCAGTGGAAAAGAAGGTATGGACCGCTTTGCTGCCGAAAAAGAAACTGCTCGAGCCCAATTATCATCGGCCGGAACCCAACTTTAGAAAATGAAGGAAAAAGGCTCGGTTCAGGCAAGAAGAATAGAGGAGCTTGAGGCTCGGTTGGCCTCTGTGCTTGCCAAGGCCGAAACCGATGCCGAAAAGGCAAAGGCTGATGCGGATGCACTCGTGGCCGTCTATTAAGTGAGTGCTTGCTCGAACTCAAAATAAAAGTAGCGTGTAGGCTTATTAGTCAAGTGAATAATTCGAACTCGAAGTAATGTAGCCCGTAGGAGTAATGGTCGAGCGAGTATTTGCTCGCACTCGAAATGAAAGCAGCCCGCAGGCTCAGTCGTCAAGAGAATGATTCGAACTCGAAATAATATAGCCCGTAGGCATAATGGTCGAGCGAGTGTTTGCTCGCACTCGAAATGAAAGTAGCCCGTAGGCTCAGTCGTCGAGTGGATGATCCGAACTCGAAGAAATATAGCCCGTAGGCATAATGGTTGAGTGAATGCTTGCTCGAACTCGAAATAAAAGTAGCCCGTAGGCTTATTAGTCGAGTGAATGATTCGAACTCGAAGTAATGTAGCCCGTAGGCATAAATGTCGAGCTCGAACTCGAAATAAAAGTAGCCCGTAGGCTTATTAGTCAAATGAATGATTCAAACTCGAAGTAATGTAGCCCGTAAACGTAAAGGTCGAGCTCGAACTCGAAATAAAATTAGCCCGTAAGCTTATTAGTCGAGTGAATGATTCGAACTCGAAGTAATGTAGCCCGTAGGTGTAAAGGTCGAGCTCGAAATCGAAATAAAAGTAGCCCGTAGGCTTATTAGTCGAGTGAATAATTCAAACTCGAAGTAATATAGCCCATAGGCGTAAAGGTTGAGCTCGAACTCGAACTCGAAATGAAAGTAGCCCGTAGGCTTATTAGTCGAGTGAATGATTCGAACTCGAAGTTATGTAGCCCGTAGGCATAAAGGTCGAGCTCGAACTCAAAATAAAAGTAGCCCGTAGGCTTATTAGTCGAGTGGATGATTCGAACTCGAAGTAATGTAGCCCGTAGGCGTAAAGGTCGAGCTCAAAATAAAAGTAGCCCGTAGGCTTAGTCGTCGAATTTAACTTTCTATTTGCGTAATAAATCTCCAAATAGAGGAATTTTCCTTGGATATAAGATGTCGGTAAAGAGGAGAACTTTCTTCACAAGTCACTACACATATGTTCATGTTTCGCGCCTGGGTTCGGGCCAATCTACATGAGCAAGGTTAGTTTTGACCATTTGGCTCTTACAATATTTCCTATTAGAACCCTGTTGTTGTGAAATAACTTTCTTGCATCTGAACTCGATTATTTGAGGGCCTAATGCCCCCCCCCCAGTATTCGAGGTCGATTGTAAAGAGGCCTCGGATATTATTGTAAGTGCAACACGATCATTGGTTGCCTCGTTAAAAACCTTGCCAAAAAACCCATTTGGGATAAAATCGGTCTAAGGGAAAAAGAGTGCAACGCGTGCTTTCAGATCTATGGTTTCGTATCGAAGGATTCATCTTAGCTCTTGATCGGACTCCTGTAGGGATCAGTTTTGAAATGTAAATGAATAATGGAAGGGTCTTACCTTAGTAGTAGTATAGTTTTAGATGTGACACATTCCAATTGCTTGATAGTTATTTGCCGTTTATAATACCGAGCCTGTATGATCTCTTTCCGGCGTTCTCGAGAACCTGATATGGTCCTTCCTAGTTTGGTCCTAGTTTTCCTTCGTTTGGATTTTGAGTTTTGAGGGTGACTTTACTTAGCACTAAGTCCCCGAGCTTGAAATAGCGGAGCTTGGTTCTTCGATTATAATATCTTTCGATTCGTTGCTTTTGGGAGGCCAATTGGACTAGAGCAGCTTCTCGTCTTTCGTCCGATAATTCGAGGCTGGTATTCATAGCCTCGTTATTTGATTCTTCCGTCGTGAATCAAAATCTGGTACTGGGTTCACCGACTTCGACTGGTATCAATGCTTCGGACCCATATACTAAGGAGAATGGGGTCGCCCCCGTACTGGATTTTGACGTTGTCCGATATGCCCAAAGAACTTCGGGCAGGATTTCTCTCCATTTTCCTTTAGCGTCATTCAACCTCTTCTTCAGGTTTTGAATGATAGTTTTGTTTGTTGATTCGACCTGTCCATTCCCACTGGGGTGGTATGGTGTTGATAGTATCCTTCTTATTTTGTGATCTTCGAAGAATTTTGTTACTTTGCTGCCAACGAATTGTTTCCTATTATCACATACTATTTCGGCGGGTATCCCAAATCGTCATACGATATGATCCCAAATAAAGTCTATAACTTCTTTCTCTCTTATTTTCTCGAACGCCTGCGCTTCAACCCATTTAGAAAAATAGTCAGTCATAAATAAAATGAATTTGGCTTTACCTGGGGCCGACGATATCCATTCCCTATTTCATGAACGACCATGGGGATAGGACTAAGTGAAGTTGCTCTCCGGGTTGATGGATCATTGGCGCAAACCTTTGACATTTGTCACATTTACGAACAAATTCCTTCGCATCTTTGCCCATATCGATCCAATAATACCCTGCTCTAATTATTTTTCAAACTAATGTATCGGCACCGGATGGATTCCCACAAGTGCCCTCGTGCATTTCCCGTAGGATGTAATCAGTATCTCCCGGACCCAAGTATACTGCCAACGGTCCATCGAATGTCCTTCGATATAGCATTCCATCCGAAGCCAACGTGAATCGAGCAGCTTTAATCCGTAGGGCCCTTGAATCTTTAGGGTCCGATGGGAGCTTTCCGCTCTTTAAGTATTCAGTATACTTATTTCTCCAATCCCAGGTTAAGCTTGTATTATTTATCTCGGCGTGACCTTTTTCGATTACCGATCTCGAGAGTTGAACGACAGTCTCCGAGCTCAAGTCATCTACCTCGACCAACGATCCCAAATTTGCAAGCGCATCGGCCTCATTGTTCTGTTCTCGTGGAACATGCCGTAAAGTCCATTGTTTGAAAT